ATGTTGTCAAACTCTAAATCTTCATCTTCCTCTTCTTCGTCAACAACATCTACTTCTGCTTGTCCATCTTCGAGAGGATCAACCACTTGTAATTGAGTTGGTTGTAACAACTGAGAATACTCATGACTAGAAAATATATTTTGAAGCTCCTCGTCATTTTGAACCTCTACCTTATAAAATATTATTTGGTTCTCACAAAAAAACCAGATTTTGGTAGAAGATGTGTGACACTGGACCTCGTTCAAGTTTGAGCTCCAGTCGATTTTTGAAATACGAAAAATTGGCGTTTCCGTTTAAAAAAAAATAGATATTATCAGTGTTTCTAAATAAAAAACCAGAGACATCACATTGTACGTCTCTCCATTGAAATATGCACTGATAACATATTATGTTGCAGAGGACATTGTGTTTGCGTGTTTGAGTATGTGGGAATTTGTTTAAGTGGTGATAACATAAGGTGCATGCATGAGAATAAATAATGTACAAATGAGATGAACAAGACAAATTTGATCTTCCAATGAGGTGCCAATTGGGATGGTGAATCCTCATATATTTAGCCTAAGGCGCCAACTGGGATGACACCTCCATTATAGGCTTGTCACGTAGCATACATGCTTGCCACCTACACTACGCCTGCCATCTACACTCGCACCTATGATGTCACCCATGCTGCCCCCCTAAGCCTGGCCTTCGCCACTTTGAATGGCGTATGCACTCTAAAGTGAATGGAGGCACCAACCCACTTGTTGCATTGGTGACACGTGTTCTGCATGCATAGAACCCCCAATCATCTCATTATCTTATACAATTCCAAATATGGTTCTTCTCACAATAGACGATTCTCACAGAGGAACAAGACAAAACATTGTCGCGTTTATAAGTTTTTATCATTTTATATATTCTTTTATCGTATATTTAAATTTTATAAATTAATTATTTTAGACATTTTATAAACTCTTACGCTATTTACATTTTGAATTTAGGATACTAAAAGATTTAGATGCCGCTCACACAACTACATTGCTTCAGACCCGTTTGTCGTCCCATATCTAGAATATGCCAGTTTTGGAAATGTTATAAAAATCTCTAACTGCACGATTGATTCCAAATTTACTCTTGCAATGTTGGAAAGATGGAGATCCGAGACACACACCTTTCATCTACCAATAGGTGAATGTACCATCACACTAGAGGACATGTATATGTTATTGGGCATCCCTATCAATGGTAAGGGAGTGAATGGGTCAGTTCAACAATCCAATTTTCTATGTGAGGAATTGTTGAGCAAAGATATGATAGAATTAACTGGTTCTAGTGGTCAAGGTATATTACTAACTGTACTTAAAAAGCATTATGAGACTCTTGAGTTGAATGAAAATTTGACCGACGAGGAAAAAATAATTAAAGCTAGAAATTATATTATGATACTATTTGAAAGCCTGCTATTTTCTGAAAGTACATGGAATGATGTAAATTTTATGTATTTAAGTTTGGTTAGAAACTTTGATAAAACAAGAAAGTATAGTTGAGGTTCCGCTGTTTTAGTCCAACTATACAGTTCATTAGGTAAAAACGTAACAAACGACAAATGTATTTTTTTGGTTGCGCTTTCTTGCTCCAAACATGGGGTTGGTGGAGAATGGAGTCCTTAAATCCAGTCAACAACAATGCATTCATTTTCACCTACGCAACAAAGTAAGTCAATAGTTTAAATAATTTATTATTCATCCTTTCGCCAAATAGATGTATAAAATTATTTATTTTCCATTCCTTTAGGTATTGTGTGAGGGGTATAGATTACAGCAAGAATCCAAGATTCAATATCGCTACGTACCATAATCTTTTGGATCACGTTGGCCCGAATGATGTACGTGGTACCTCTAAACTTTTCTACTTTTAAATTATTTATTTTTAGCGTTTTCATTATTCTGATTAATTTTTATCCATAATTTATCTGGAGACCATATTTGGGTTTAGACCATGAACCCAAACCCCGAGGATGCAACAGTTTGGACTGCAAAGACTGCAATCATACAATTCAATATTGTGGAGATGCACCATATTAATCGTGTCAAGATGCAGTTCAGAATGCATCAAGAAATACCATACGATCTAACATGTTTGTCACATTGGCATCTCAAAAGGGTCGACGCCCAATGGGGTGTTAATAATTGGAAAGGTTTCGCTCTGGAATGGTGTAAGATGTGGCGCAGACGTCACCAATATGTCTTACAATTTCCTGTTTTCCGCAACCATTTTAATATGTGACACACAAATCAATATATTAATTGGTACAAATCAGTTACTAACTCTGAAATGCATGTGTCTCTCCCGAGGTATTTGATCGACCCACACACACAATGGGCACAATCAAACACCACACAACAATAATCCCAACAATAAACCTGACACACATCAACCTCCCACCAAACACAACGACGATACAGATCCACCAACACCCAATCCCAAACCCAAGACCAATATCAATACACACACATGTCCCACACAATCACAGTACCAAGAACAACAATCATACATCCGACATCCTTACGTGGGCCCCTCGTCGTCTCACCTTAGCCCATACATTGACCAACCTGAAGAATATTCACCAATCAACCCAACTTATCATCAACCATCCTATCACCATAGTAACCAACAATCAAGTACCAAATCCCACAAGATTCATTTCCTTTTTATCCTCCTTATTCAGACGACCAATGCTAATGAAACCTCACATCCAACCAATACGATCAAACTTTGAGGGCATGTATAATCGACTGTTTGAAAGCAGATCTTCTGGATATGATGATCTGACGACTTTCATGGATCTTGAACGCTTTGACTTCGCAGGGCCCTTTACCCAACTGCAACAAGAAATACATCGAAATGCACCACGGGTTAGACGAGGATGCGGAACTATGGATCGTTATCGAGTCCCTGGAGACAACTAAATTATTCGGATTATGTAATCGTTTAATTATTATTGAAAATCAACTTTCATTTGCAATGACATTGCCTTTTAATTCTTTAATAAAAAAAACAAAAAAAAAACTTTGTACCTAGACGCCATCTAAGATGGCTTATGACAAATGACATGCACCTAGAAGTCATTTCACTTGACGCATTTAAAAAAAAAATCAATACATACGCCATCTCACTTGACTACTGTATTATATTATTTTCTGAAACATAATTATTTATGTAATTTTTTTTCGAAACATTTTATTTATATAATTTTTTTTTTAAATATGGTTATTGCTAAAAAAAAAAATTCTATATGAGAGTTTACTATTTTATTTATTGACCTATTTATTATTGGAAAATTAGACGAAGGACGACCTGTGCCCTATATTCCAACTCGTTTACACTTTAAAACTAAATAGTCAGTCAATTTTTGTGACCACAAGAAAAGAAAATTAGATAAAGAAACAAACGAAGACGGACTAGCTAGAATAATAGAAGGGAATTTGGCATCTGTTTACTTGGTCGTGTAGGGCAATGTAATATCTACAATCTTACAAAGTTTATTTATTGAGAATGTTTTGATATTTTTATATACTTATTTCTCTCTCGAATTAAATGTAAAACAATAAAATATGTAACTTTTGCGTGAAATTAAATCTACAGTTTTTTTAAACTTAAAATTTGAATTTAGGCTGTGCTATTTAATGTAAAAAATGTCCTTCATTTATCAACTTAACTATATATATATATATATATATATATATATATATATATATATATATATATATATATATATATATATATATATATATATATATATATATATATATATATATATATATATATATATATATATATATATATATATATATATATATATATATATATATATATATACATTTATAAGTAACAAGAAAAAATCAATTAAAGACTAATTCTCAAATTATTTAGAGAAATGATCAAACTCCTAATTTCTAATAAATGATATTTGAAAAAAGTGCAAAACCTTTATCTTCCGTTTTTTTTTCTTAATTTTATTTTCTAAAATATAAAATAAATTTTTAAAATGAACAAATGTGTACGAGTTATTTTCCAAAAAAGGAAAAATGCGTACTGAGTTTTTTCTAAAACAATAAAAACAAATTTATTTTTTATTTCAAAGCATAATGACATTTTAAACAGTTGATATTGATAAAGTATATACAAATATGAAAGACAAACGTAAACTACATCTTTACTCCTTTTGAAAAGATATATTATCTTAACATTTTTAATTATTTGATCACAGTTGATTCTTATTAACAAAGAAAAAAAAAACATTTTATGAAATAAAAACAATATATATTTTCATTAAATAAACATAGATTTTTATATTTTATCTAGTTTTTAGATTTAAAATTAAATAGTTAATTTTGTAACTACAAAGAAGAAAAAGAGACTAATAGATGTATTATGATAAAGATATTAGGTTTATTGTTAAAATTAACGTATTTAATAAATGACATTTAAAAAAGAATAGAAGGAATATTTTTTTTAAAACTACACATTACTTAATAAATATGATACTTTTTATGAGACCAGGTACAAAATTTTCTTAATAAACGTAGAAAATTGAATATCCAGAATCTCAGTGGCAAATCTGAGATTCTAATAGCATAAACACTTCCATATTCATATCAGATGAAAAAGGAAGAAAAAAAAAAAACCAGAAGTCGAAAGCAAGGGTCCTAGAAGTTTCACATGTTCACATGTTCACACTAGCTTTTCCAGTTTAATCCAATTTGAATAGTCACATAAACATGCTTACGCAAACAAACAAACCTTGACTTGTCTCCCCTCTCTCTTTGGTCAAAATCCATACGCATTTTCTCTCTCCTTCTCCACCTACAAAACCAAAGGCCTTGCCCAAGCAGACTCATAAAAACACGTACCTTCTAAATTCAGTACACCCCACTTCACCAATTTAGCTACTTTTTCTTTGGTGTTTTCCCGTTTTTTGGATTAGTTTGAATTCTCAACTTCCATACCAGACAGACATGTCTCTTGCTTCAGCTGATCGTAACAATATCCAAGGAGTTCTTACTCACGGTGGACGCTATGTTCAGTACAATATCTATGGAAACCTCTTTGAAGTCTCGAACAAGTATGTACCTCCTATCCGTCCTGTTGGAAGAGGAGCTTCTGGTATTGTCTGGTAAGAAAAAACAATTTATGGAATGCTTGCCTTTTAGACCAAGGAATCTGTAACTGATGCTACTTACTTTTACTGCATCATTCTATTAGTTTTTATTAATTTTGATCTATTCAATTTTATTGGAATTAATCATTTCAAAGAGAATCTAGTTCATTTGGACTTAAGCCATTTATTATGTTTTATCTAAAATTTTCCTGAATATGAACTTGTTGATTGCAACCTCTGTAGCACTGACACTCTGAAAAAAGACGTGTCTGTCCGATACGAGTAATTACGTTTTATTTATTTATTTTTTCAAAGGTGTCGTTGTGTCGGTGTTGGTATTATTTTCGTGGTGTTTGTGCTTCATAGACCGCAAGTGATTATTTAAAAGAGAACAAAGAGATAGCTGAATTTTAAATGAGACAGGATGATTAGTTCAGGTGATTTACAATTTGACACGGTAAAGAAAACAATCCTAAGGATTTTCAGACTTGTCAAACTCAAGATAACATGTATATGTTGAATGGCTTCCTAGAATTTGGTGTTCAACAATAATAACTTGTTTTTTCACATTTGCGTGGATTTAGATTCTGTTATCGACAATGTGAAGTACAACATTATTTTTTTCATTTTCCTTCAGTGCTGCTGTAAATGCGGAGACACGCGAAGAAGTTGCTATTAAGAAGGTTGGCAATGCATTTGACAACAGAATTGATGCCAAAAGGACCTTAAGAGAAATTAAACTTCTCCGGCACATGGATCATGAAAATGTAATTTGATAATCCTTTTACTGAAATTTATTGAACGATTGCCTTACTCGTCAGTTGTTAGTCAGTTTCGTGATTGGATTTCAAATTTGCTGTTTTTATTATAATTCATTTTCAAACAAGACATTTTACTTACCGATTACGTCTGCAACACAGGTGATAGTCCTTAAGGACATTATACGGCCTCCACAGACAAACAATTTCAATGATGTTTACATTGTTTATGAGTTAATGGATACCGACCTCCATCAAATAATCCGTTCCAATCAACCATTGACGGATGATCATTGTCGGGTAAACCCTTCAACTATGCCTTTTAATGTATGCCATTATGAAAGATCGTTTGATTACTGTGATTGATAAGATATGTTTTCCAGTATTTTCTGTATCAGTTGTTACGAGGACTGAAATACGTACACTCGGCAAATATTCTGCACCGTGATCTAAAGCCTAGCAACTTGCTACTGAATTCCAATTGTGATCTTAAGATCGGAGACTTTGGTCTAGCTAGAACTACTCGTGAAACCGATTTCATGACTGAGTATGTGGTTACTCGCTGGTACCGAGCTCCAGAATTGCTTCTTAATTGCTCAGAATATACTGCAGCCATTGATATATGGTCAGTTGGTTGCATCCTCGGTGAAATCATGACAAGACAACCCCTATTTCCTGGGACAGATTATGTTCATCAGCTCAGATTGATCACAGAGGTATATAGATAGGTCATGCATTTTGACTTATATGTTGCAAATCATGTTATAATCTTTGATCTTCTTAAGACATGGTCGAAAATAGATTTTAGTTTGACAAATTTTCTTTCATTTTAAAAGCTCATAGGTTCCCCTGATGACACCAGCCTTGGATTTCTACGAAGTGATAATGCTCGTAGATACGTAAAACAGCTTCCTCAATATCCAAAACAAGAATTTGCTGCTAGGTTTCCCAACATGTCTCCCGGTGCAGTCGATTTATTAGAGAGAATGCTTGTTTTTGATCCGAACAGACGCATTACAGGTAAAGATTACAATGATCCTTGACTTGACAGTATGTTTGAGGTAGTCTTTTATAAACTTTGGATTCTCCGTGTGTATACTTTTATTGACGGAACATTACTTCATTGCAGTTGATGAGGCTCTGAGCCACCAATACTTGGCGCCGCTGCATGATATTAATGTGGAACCTGTTTGCTCTAGACCTTTCCATTTCGATTTTGAGAAACCGTCTTTCACCGAACAAGATATCAAGGAACTCATCTGGAAAGAATCTGTGAAGTTCAATCCTGATCCACCTATTTATTGAGATTTTGCATTTACCATTGTATGTTTATAGTGAAATACTTGATACCTTATTTAGAACTTTTTTTGACAAATTATAGTGATATTGAATGAGAAAAAGAAAAAAACTGTTTGATTACTATAATTTGAAACACCATTCACTTCTCAACTTTGAGAAATGCTTATGAGAAAACTCATTCCTAAACATAACTTACATAGACTAATACATCTCAACATATTTCATGTTGTAAGAACACTTCTTAAGCTCCAACTTATCAATAGGTAAACTCTCTTCCGGAAAATCACACGCCGTGATTTTCTCAGGCCCTTGATCTGGCAACAAATCACAAGGCGTAGGCGTCACACCACTAGTCATCCCTTCGATATCAGTACAAGTCCATGGCCTTTTCTTGGCCTTAACAGCCATCCCTAGTGTCACATTAGCAATACAAATACCTTTAAAAGGGTCATTAGAAATTCCTTCAAACCTCGCCGCTATCGTAACATTCTCAGCCACAACGTCTCTATAGTTAATATTCGCGATCTCCGGCAAAGCATTAGGATCAAAGTGAGTATCAGCATGTGAATTGTAGTCACCAGTCATCTTAAACGCCCATTTCATCGTATGCATATTAAATCTCTTCACATATATGTCTTTTACATACCCTCCTCTACCAACAGCTGTTTTGATTCGTACACCTGATTCTGTTCGAATCGCCGTGATGTCTTCGGCTCTAACATCTTGTATCCCTCCTGACATTTCACTTCCTAAGGCAATTGTTGCACTGAAAGGTGAAATGCATGTTAATCTTCTTATTACTAGCTGTTTTGTTGGCCAACCGAATTTTATACCATACTCATCCCATCCACTCTTCACAGCTACACAGTCATCTCCGGAAACTATGTAACAGTCTTCGATTTTCGTATTTGTGCAAGAGTCTAAACATCAACTCAAAGAAAAAGAGAAAAAAGTTTATCAATCCAATCAAATCCAGTACTTTTTTGAATGTTTTGTATAAAATGGTTTCTTATGCTGACCTGGATTGATACCATCAGTGTTAGGAGATGTGACAGGAGCAATAATAGTGATGCCTTGCACAATAATATTGCTGTATAGTATTGAAAACTTTGTTATTAAATAGTCTTTGAAAGTAAAAGAGGAAGTAAAAGAGATGAAATATGAATTTAAGAACATTTTGTGGTTATTAACCTGCTGTAAACAGGATGAATGTTCCATGATGGAGAATCGAGGAGAGTTAGATTTGAGATTTGGATGCCATCCGAGAACATTAGTTCGATGAGGTAGGGACGTGTGTACTTCAACTTTTTTCGATGAAACTGTTGCCACCAAAATGCACCTTGACCATCTATGGTGCCATTTTCACCTATTAACAAAGTGTCACAGTCTATGAAACACATACACTAGACACGACAGAGACACTGAATTTGTTTTATATGTTTTTCATCATACCTGTGACAATAACATCTGTGAGGTTAGTTCCGAATATGAGGCTTGTGAATCTTGCTGCTGGTGCATCTCTTCCTCTGCCGTATGATGGTAACGGTTCAATCACAGGCCACTCAGTTATATCCTAAATTATTTTAATAACAGTGATAAAATAGAGTTAGCACTTAACGGTCGCACTAATGAAAGTGCCAAAATTGTGGCACACTCAGAATGTAATGGACCACTCTATGATCTAGAGTTGGTGTGTGAATATAAGAATAAAACATAAATGTGTCACGAAAAAGTTGTTTTTATTGCTTTCATTTTATTATTGTAGAATATATTGCTCTAATAGAGAGTGATGAAACCTGTGACACATTCATTGCATTTCATTTATTTACTGAATATCTTCCTCATTTGTAAATTGTAACTCACATGATAGCTGAATTTAGAATATGTTGATTTATGAGATACCTGAGAAGCAAGAAGAACAGCATCTTTATCCAAAAAGAGAGTAAAGTGACTAGTGAGACTGAAACTGCCGGTGAGCCATTTTCCGGCAGGAACATAGAGCTGAGAACCACCTTCGGAACCATACTGACTCAGATTACTAATTGCAGACTGAAAAGCCTTTGTGTTAGATGTAACTCCGTCTCCAACACCACCGAAATCTGTCAATGAAGCACTGTGTGCTCTACAGTTTATACCATTGTACTCAAATGAAGCTGTCATAATTTTGGCTTTTTTACTCTCAGCTGTTCTAAGTGTTACCACAAAGAGTGCAAAGACTAATTTAATCACCTGAAAAATCAACATAGCCACGACTCATGAGAATAAATGGTTAGGAAAATGTAGCAGAGTTTCTCTAAGTATATTATGCACTATATATGAATACAATAGGAGTAATAGAAGGTGAAGATACAGGGTTTACTTGTAGCCTCATGTGACTTTTCCACAAGAGCTTCATCCTAATTTGATTTTGGTATATTTGGAGAGTTAAGGTATGTTAAGTATTTATAGCTGAAGTTCAATGCCAATAGGTCCATTAGTTCCTAAAACTTCATGTGCTTTTTGTCATTCTCTAAGCACATAGTTTTCCGTCATAACGGTGCTGAATAATAGAGATGTTGCAAATTCAAATATATGTTATTATAATGTTTATGCACAATTATCAATTTAATTGGTTTTACGGAATTTTTTTGTCCGTAATTATAAATAAAAGTCATCTTAGTTTTTAGACTATAATATAATAATAAAAAAAAATTTAAGCATATTTGATATCATTTAAGAATTGGCTAAGCGTCTAATTTGAGCTTGGAATATTTTAACAAACATTCCTAGTCTCAAATCCTAGTCACTCAACCATCAAATTTGTGGTCCTATAAACTGTTTATATCAAGAAGATATATGTAATAAAAATTAGGCATGTTGATTTTGAATATTCATTCTTGAGATAAGTGATTATTCCATAATAATAGAATTTCAATTATTTTAAGTTTAACTTTTTGGAAGTTGTCACTTTTCACAGTAATAGGTCTCGTGAGTGCTTGCAGTCCCACTACCCTTTTGCTGCCGACCCACTTCCTCACGGGTGGAGAATTCTTTCTCAAAATCTCAACTCAATTGAATTCACTCTAATTACGAAATTCACTATATTTATTTACATAATTAACATAAGTGATTACTTGTTACCAAGGTTCAAAATCGGGTAAAAGTTTTTACAATTTCGATTTGTATAGTGTCTTGATAGTGATTGGCGATTGCGGTTGTCGCTAATACCAAAGGACTGTTTTTTAAAACGTTAGCTTCTTACCATTTATATTCTAAAAGCATAGATTGTTAGCATTTGAGTACCTTATAGAAACTTATATAATTGAATTGTTTTCTTCTTAAAAGGTAGTGGTAGGGTATCTTCTATAAGTTGAAGTTTTTCTGTTCCACTCACGAGTCACAATAGCACTTATCCATAGTTGGCCTTAGTTTGTGGATGTGATTCAATCACAGACACAGCTTTTCACTTCCAAACCATCACGAGTTTGTTCTGTTAACCGATGCTTGATGAATCCACTTTTTTCCCTCTATTTAAATTTATACTATTAAACAAAATACTAAGTTTAACATGATTTAAAATAATTTTACATTGTCATCTAATTAACCACACACATGATATTTTAAAATAATGTGAATATTTTATTGAATGGTTATGTAATTTTTTTTACACATGTCCATTAAACTCATGTTTTTAACATAATTAGTGGAATACTCGTACGTTTTCACGAGTACTGATATATTACACGCATTTATTTTTAAAATATAATTAAAATAAAATATTTTTTTTAAAAAGAGATAATAAATTTGTATCTATAATTCTTTTTATATATAAAAATATCTGAATCAATAATATATATATATATATATATATATATATATATATATATATATATATATATATATATATATATATATATATATATATATATATATATATATATATATTTGATAAGTAATTTCATGTTCTCGTTGTTATTTAATATTTTGATCGGTAATTTCATATTTATATTATTATTCAATATTTTGATCAGTAACTTAATTTGATCAATAATTTCATATTCTCGTTAATTATATATGATATTAAAACTTACTATATCGAATACGCGCATTTGTTTTAAAAGTATAATAAAAATAAATTTTTTTAAAAAAATAAAAAATAAATCGGTGTCTATAAAACAAAATAAAAAATACACAAAAAAGTACCACTACTTGATGAGGGCATATTACTATATCATGTAAGATTTTGAGGGCACCACTACTTGATGCCAAAGAGTTAAGTACATATGTTTGGTGTTTGGTGTTTGGTAATGTTTACAAAGCTAACCATCACACTTTCTTAAACTTTACACTATAAATTATAGCAATTCTATTGCCTTTGGTTAGTTGCAGTCAGTTATAATTTCATTGAGTCTTCTATCAAGGTTTAGTGAATCCAGCCTATATTGGGTGGAAGCAATGAGATTCTCTCCTTGTGTCATTACTATTATCCTGAATTTATAATTTTTTGCTTTCACAGATTGTTGGATGCATCTATCCATGACAAGTCTCAGAGGAATTCATGCCTTCTTTTACATACAAAGTCGAATAATATAATACAATTTTCCATTAACACAAAGGGATTTGTGGAGTGTTTCATTTCATCAGTAGTAGTTGCTACTTGCTACTCATTTCAATAACTTAAAAATATTAATTGAACATCCCTGTTCCACAATGAGTTATGAAGTAACTAAACAAATCACTAATTAAGTATGAAAAAGCATAATTGAACAAACTCAATCTTCTAGCATTACACATTATAACTCCACTGACATTACTCTAAGGCATAGATAGATCACAAGTATAATGGATATTTATGGATACAAAAAACAGAAAACCAAATATATAAAAATACAAACAGTTATAGATAAAATCTGCAGAAGAATTGAGAGTGGCTGTAATAATCCTACAGACAAAGTATTAGAGGATTTTGCTTGTTGACAAATGTGAGCCTTGGTTC